AAAAAAAAAAAAAAAAAAAAGAAAGAAAGAAAGAAAGAAAGAAAGAAAGAAAGAAAGAAAAAACCACCTCTGCACCCACCCAAATACATCTCTCCGCTCTCGGGAGTTCAGAGGCCAGGGCCTGGAACCTGGCCACTTTCAGAGACTTCCTCTAGGAAAAGTGACTGATTCCAAAGCAGCCACCCTTTAAGACCAGGAGTCTTCAGTGCTCTCTGGGCTCGCAGCCCACAGCCACCTGCTTCTTGTTAACTCTATTAGCCCAGCAGCTTTGCTGAACAGTCTAGACCAAGGCACCCTGCTGGCACCATGGTGCTTCATAAGCAGGCTGAAGACTCCTTGATGCTCCCATTGAGAATACTCACTGGTCCCTAACAGCTGAGTCTCAGGATCTTCCAGTAGAAGGGACCCCAGGTGAAGCCACAGCCTCACCAGAAAAGCGGGAGGTGTCTGTGGAGGCAAGAGACACCTGGAAGGTTTCTTTGTGGCCTTCTCAACCAGGATTAGAGACCCATTGGGAGGCATGTCACCTGCCTTGGCTCCTTGGACCAATGGGTGATGTATTTGCATTAGGTTCTGCTTCAGAGTCCTCAGCTGGTGCTGGAGCTAGAGCCATGCTGGCCAGCTGTCTCCCTATATGGCTTTACTATCTCCCTTTGCCATCTGGGCTGACTCACCTGGGTCAGTCTGCTGCAGTGGGTCCACACTGCTGCTCTGATGGCATTGGTTTGGTGTTGTTTTTGTTTGTTTTGTTTTTCTTGGTGTTTGTGTTTGTGGAAATGGGGCAGTGCTGCCCTGTATTTAGAACCATCTCGATAGCTCTCTGGCTTGCAGCCTGGAGCACATGAGAGAGAGGGTTGAGGCTTACCCTCCCACCAGGAACCTGGAAGCACCACTTTGAATCTGTTGCTAAGGAATCCCATGGTGGTTCTAGTGGGGGGCATGGTTAGTCCCCAGCCAAAATACAAGATACAAGGCCCATGTAGCTCCAGAGGGAGACTGTGGTAACTGGGCATCAAGCTGAGGAAGAGGGGGAGGGGAGGCTTTGTACATATCTTAAGGTTGTAGTTTCTTGAGCTCAGAAGAGACAGAGAGAGGGGGATGGAGGAGTTGGTGTATGAAGGAGTGGCCTTTCTCTCAGCATGGACGGTTGCAACATTACTGTGCCTGCTCCCCAGACGCTGTGATACCCATCTGGTCAGCAGGCTTTACTGTATTCAGTATCTAACTGACAATGGGACCTGGCATGAGGGACCTGTCCCCAGCCTGGTGTGTAATGTGACCTTGGGATTATTTTCATATCCCAAAGCATTTCGTGACTTTGAGGAAACAGCAAAGACCCATCTCCTTGGCCCCAGCTGAGTATGTGACAGGTGTGACTGCTGTATGATGGTACACTTGGGCTGGCCGGAGAGGTGACAGGTGCCTATTGTTGCAGAGGACAGAGCTACTGCTGGATGAGCGCGCCCAGATTTCAGCCTGCATGGGAGTGACTGGAGGTGGGGAAGCTTTCATGGGCTGAGGGTGACTTAGGGAGCAAGCCTGGGGTGTGGCTGGAGCACGCTGGGGACAGGGCGTTAGGTGGCAGGGACTCTGAAGTGTTCCGTGTGTGGTAAGTCCATTCTGTTGCCCTTTGCTTGGGAGGGGTTAGTCAGGAGCTTTTCGTGGACAGCATGGCCTGAGGCTTGGGTTAGGAAGTGACAGCTGGAGGTTGGGCCAGCAGGCAAGCTTCCCAGTGTTGGGGAGGTCCTTGCCTTTAAAATCTCTTTAGGAACTCATGTTGGATTTGGTGGCAACTGGTCCAGCACAGAAGGTAGAGCTAAAGAGAGGAGTCCCCATCCAGTGCCACCAACAGCTGGACCAGGGCTTCCCATTCTCCATTGCAGCACACATCAGGTAGGGGACCAGGGAGAGGGAAGAAAATGGCCAAATTCAGTGTTTTGGTGTTTCCTTCCTGGCCTTGGCCTCATCTTTCTTTAACTTTTATATGTCCGTGGTGCTGTCAGTGGACCCCCACTGTGTGCATATGACACAGCCACCAACCTTATCCTGAATGACTATGAGCCCTCCCCTCAGGCAGAGGGATAGTGCTGTGTTAGAAATCGATGGTGTGTCAGGTTTTCCTCCTAGGGCCAAGTTACTCCCTAGGGGTAGACTCTCAAAGGTGGGATAGTTGGATTAATAAATATGGGGCCCTTGAGACTTTTATTATCTACTCACAAAACAAGTTTCCAGAAATTTCTGTGCCCATTACACTGCCACCAGCAAGGGTAAGTGTCTCTGATTTAGGGTCTTCTGCCAGGGCTGAGTATTTTCTGACTTGAGGAGGACAGCAGCATCATGCTTCAGTTGCATCTTTCGATTCTAGCACATTGAGCATCTTTTTACACCAAGTGATTGCATTTCCTCTTTTGCAGACTGCCGATGTCCTTTGCTCCACTGATGGGCCTGACCAGTTTGTAAGAGCTCCGTATGCAATTAAAGATACTAATCTGATGTGTGCTGTATCTGCTATAAGTGTTTCTGGGGTTTTGCTGTGGGTGTGATTGAAGCTGGCACATGTGGGCAAACAATGCCTGGCTCTGCCAGGCTGCTGCACAGGGCCAGAGGGATGGCTGGGACAAAACAGCATTTTGGGAGAAATTATGAAATCCTTTCCACAAATGGACATACTAGGCCTGGGGGCCCAGGTGTGGTAGAGGGGTCTCTGTCACAGTGTTTATGCCCCAAGTAGTTCTTACACTTTGTGGGAAAGGTGGTTCTGCCAGCTGTGTCCCTGGTGTCTAGTCCAGAACGTGATCTATACATGACAGGAGCCATCATAGAGCAGGCAGCCATGTACTCAGATTGTCTTTCTGGTCCCAGGATCCCGTGGCACATATAGGCTTTGTCAGCACATGCCATGTCACAATTTTCAAATGGCGTTTAAGCTATGAAAGGAAACGGAGGACATGTAAGCTTGAGTACTGTATTTTAATGAAAACTTAACTTTTCCGAGCAAAATATTTCTAAACAAAATAATGGTCTGTTTCCATCTTGATGGGTTTCCATGAGATGGTGGGAGACTGCTCCTGTCCTTTGTGACACTGTTGTGAATCTCTGAGGAAATCCACTGCATGCTGATGAGATGGAGGAAGTCACATAGTGTCATGCAAACAGAGTGACCTTGTAGAGCAGGCACCACTGGGCCAGGAAGGACTAAGAGCAGGCAGTCTTGACCCAGTCTGTGAAGCCTCTGGGATGACTCCCAGTGCTTTGAACCTCGGGTCTTTCCCCCTCTTAATAAACAGCCATTTCTGGGATTAATTTGGTATGTCTTGTGAGATGTGTCTCCACACCAACACGGTACAGCAGTCCTTCCCTGGAGTGTGCCTTTCTCCAGGCAGAGCCTGCCTTGCCCCATGGACTGCCCTGTTCTGGCCCATTTCGTGTCTGTTTGTACTCAGATCTGGTAAGGTTCCCACTTCACTCATTCCTATCTCTTACCACTAAAACAATTTCTAAGGGTTCTCTTAAAAACCCTGTGATGGGTGCAGCTGTAGAACCTGTCACCAGAGGCTGGCTGATCCCTTGCTCTGGCCAGCAGCAGTCCTCATGTTGCCACCATGTGCCTGTGTCTCTGACATGTGAGACATATCTGTCTCAGGTAGCTGTTCTCTGTTATGCACAGGTTCTGAGTGCTTAGTGGCTTCCTAGATGTCCCCAGGAGATTTTCAACGGTCTACCATCCCTTTTGACAGGACAGTAGAGGATTGGAGGTGTGGACTCCACCCATCACTCTGGCCCAGGTAAAAGCTGGCAACCATGACTGGGGACCTGGGCCAACATGCCAGTGACCAGGTGCTGCCTCTGGGCTCCCCTGCATGGCCTAGGGGACTCTGGTGGTTTTGACTACTCTATTGTCTGTCCACATTCTTCCAAAGTGGGTGGAAATGGTGTCAACCCACCTATCTTCAGCCCATACCTGCCCATCACACAGGCCTGACATTAACTAGCTGTGAGGCCAGCCTAGGTCCTTTCCTGCCTCTCAGGCCTGGACAGCCCACCTTGCTTTTCATTGGAACGACACTTGACACAGGTTCAAGGTTACTGTTAGAACTCACCCTGGCCTGGTTAGGGTTTTCCTGGTTGCCCCTCCCCTAGCCTCTCATCTGTCAAATACTTTGTTTCCACTGAACTTGGGTCCTTTCCACCAAATGGTGCAGCTCATGGGCAGAGGTTCTGCCAACAGTGTCCCCAGTGCCTAGTTTGCTCAAGGCGGCTGTGATCATATAGCAGACGACGATATGGCGACTGTCCTGGTCACATAGCCCATGCCAGAGCAGCTGTCTGCTTTGCATTCTGGAGAAGCCCACACACCCCACACTCAGTCTGCCCTGCTTTACAAGGTGGGATAATCTGTCCATATGCCTCTTGACCCACTTAGTAGCCAAGGAGAACTGGCTTTGGGGAGGACAGCACATTGTCTTTGAGAATTACTTAACAATAGACATTTCATTCCCTGGTCTGGCCACATGGTTTAAACATTCACATTCCTTGGCAAATGTAACTTGTTTGCAATTTCTTTCATCTTAAGCCATGCTGCCACAACAACCCTAGTTTTCCTGAGAACACTTTCTTGTCAACAGGACCTTGTTCTTGGGCTCAACAGCTCCTCTGCTTAGCAAGGGCCATTGCTAGTACACAGGAGAGAGGGGAAGGGTTGCAGTCCCTTTGAACACATGAGGAGCAGTTTCTCGGTCCATCCACTGAATATATGTAGCGTTTCCGGTTTGAGGTGGCCAGCATTCCCTGGACAGTAGGCGCCTCTTTTTCTAAATGGCTTCCTCAGTAGAGATCAGTGTCTCAGTTTTTTGTTTGTTTTTGAGGGGTTGGTTTTCACATTTTATTGCGGGGGGGGGGCAACAAGGAAGGAGGCCTCTTCCATCAGGAGTATTCACAGATTCTTCAGCCATTCTGGGCTTGAACCCTGAGGATCCTGGGGGTGGCGAGGCACAACGGGCCTATTCCCATTGTCTCACACAAGCATTGGGTAGTTGTAGAGTGTGGCCTGGTTGATCATGGCAGCATACTTGGTGTAGGGGCAGACTATGGACATAATTATAGCAAGGTCCCAGACAGAGAACACTACCAGCACCAGCTCCGTTGCCCAGGCATTCTTGAGGAAGGCAGAGAGTCTCCTGGCCATCTTGATCTTGTCCAGTGTGTTATTTTTTTTAAATACTGCCATCTGCAATAGAATGAAAGCACATCCCCAATTTCAAATGTTGAAATCTGCACCCTAATGCCATAATGTTGAGAAACAAATGTTTGTTATTCAGGCCACAATCTATAATACTGTGATGCTTGAGAGAGGATAGTCACTGTGTCTCAAGTATTTGAACATTGGACTCCAGTGGATTGAGCTGTTTGGGAGATTATGGGGCCTTGAGGAGGTGAAGCCTTGCTGAAGGAAACAGGTCAGTGGGGATGGGCTTTAAGAACTCATAGCCTCTCCCACTTCTGATTTGCTCTCTGCTTTCTGCTTGTGGATGGAGAACTGATCTCCCAACTTCCTGTCCCAGCTCCCTGCTATCTCCGTGTCCATGATGGCTCTCCTCTGGAACTCTAGCCAAACTCTTCATAAGTTGCTTTTGGTCATGGTGTTTTATCACAGCCACAGAAAAGTAACTAATACAGATACCTCATCAAACACACCTGAGCTAGAGTCCACCACACTGAAATCTCAACACACTGACAATTCTAAACCTGACCATGCTGGCTAGTTTTATGTCAACTGGACACAAGCTAAAGCCATCTGAGAGAAGGGAATGCCAGTTAAGAAAATGCCCCTATAAGATCAGGTTGTAGGCAGGCCTATAGGGCATGTTCTTAATTAGTGATTGATGGGGGAGGGTCCAGCCCATTATGTGTGATGCCATTCCTGGGCTGGTGGTCCTGTGTTCTATAAGAAAGCAGGCTGAGCAAGCCATGAGGAGCAAGCCAGTAAGCAGCACCCTTCCATGGCTTCTGCATCAGCTCCTGCCTCCAGGTTCCTGCCATGTTTGAGTTCCTAACCTGACTTCCTCTGATGATGAGCAGTGACTAGGAAGTGTAAGTCAAATAAACCCTTTGCTTCTCAACTTGCTTTTTGGTTCTGTTGTTTCATCACAGCAATAATGAGCTTAAGTAAGATAGTGGCAACATTTTGTAATGGGCTTTTCTTTCCTTACTGCACTGGCAGGAGCCTGGGGTGTCCCTGTTTGTGCTTGCCACCCCCCCCCCCACGGAAACAGATGTCTCTCCAGACTACCTGTCACTGCTAGTGCATAGTGCCATGGTCCAAAGTACCCCTGAGGAGGGAACAGAGTGTTTCTGGTTCCTTCTTGGTTTCTGGTTGACTCTCTACTTTCCATTTTTCAGAATGTCTGCTGCCCTGAGGAAGGCACTTGAGTCTAGGGACCACCATACTGCAGAAAATTCCAAAGCAGGGCACACAGGAAAGCAAGTGTTGGAGCACTGGGGTGGGGTAGTATAAGGAGCCTGTAGGACTGGGAGGCCCAAGGTACACTTGGCTGTCCTGCGCTATAGAAACAACAGGGAAAGCTACACTCTGTTCCTGACAGGAATCCTTGCTGCTGTCCCCCTTCCTCTGAGCAGATCCCCACTTCAGGGTGAATGTGGCCTTGGATGGCAAAGTTCAGGCTAGCATCAGTAGCCAGACACCCTAGGCCCACCAGGCCCCAGAGCCCCAGAGCCCCAGAGCCCCAGAGCCCCAGAGCCTGGGTTGCATTAAGTTGATCATAAACAGGCACTAAATGCTAAGAGACCACTCTAAAGACAAAAGTAACAGGAGATCCTTAGAGTTGGGAGGAGACAGAAGCCACAGACTCCATTTGGATTAAGTTTCCTTGTATATGTTCCCATCGAATTGAGCTTCCTCAATAAACTAGCTACAAATAATTTACTTGGTAACTCAAGGAGCTGTGGGTTTGTGACTGGGAAAGGCAGAGGAAACAGTCTGTGGAGGTGGTATTCACAGGGAGGAAGGAGATTCAGGGTATGAAAGCAACATCGCACAGTGGTTCCATGTTTGTTTGCCATGCCAGCTGCCCAGAGTGTTTGGAAGGAACTTCAGGGTCTCAGTGAGAGAAATGGCTCCAGCAGCACACATGTGCCAAACTCCTGCTGGACCTGGCATTGTTTTGAAAGCTGTGGTGAGCAGTGCCTGGCCAGTCCTGGATCTCACACAACTCTTTCTGGAGCAGATCTGCTCACCGATGTGTGAGGGAAGAGGATGCAGAGTGGAAGCAGCAGGTTTCAGACCTGGCCTGGAGGGCTAGCATCAGTCCAGAGACCCGTGCATCTGCTGGGGCTGTAGCCGTGAACTTGGGATATAGCCCAGTTCGAGAAAGTTATCAAAATAGTCTAGCTTTAAAATCAGTAGTGACTTAGGCACAAGCAAGTAATTTTTCCAGCTTAGGGAAATTTAAAAATGTTTTGAAGATTTTATTTAATTTTTATTTTATGAATGTTGAGTGTATACCTGTGTATGTATGCACACCACATGCGTGCAGTGCCCTCAGTGGCCAGGAGAGGGCTTTGGATCCCCTGGAACTGGACAAACAGGTATCCGAGGCCCTCAAACTGGAGTTCCAGGTGGTTGTGAACCATCATGTAGGTGCTGGGAATCTATCTTGGGTTCACTGGAAGAGCAGTCAGTGCTCTTAACCACTGAGCCATCTCTCCAGCCACCGAATGTATTATTTTTATACTCATAAAATACACATTTTACTCTTGTTTAAAATGTTACTTTAAAAAGATATTTAATCCACAACATGTTGTTACATGGAGGTATATGGCTTCTGTTGCTATTCCTCCCTGGTTGGTGAGATATGTGTTTTTTTTTTCTTTAAAAGAATTAAATTGGAATTTACAGACTATGAAGTTCTCAGAATTGACATGAACAGTGTGAGTGCTGTGACAGATACATGCTCCTGCATAGTGTGACCACAACTACCAATATAGAGCCTTTGCATCACTCAGAAAGCTCTGGGCACCTCCAGCCACCAATCTCCCCCCGTCCTGTTTGCACCCTGGTTGTTGCATTGGAGGTTAGCCTGAGGTCAGCATTGGCCCTCTCCTGTTTCCTATGTGTGGGACCTAAGGGCATAGATGGTGTGTCCAGGTGTGCTCAGGTCACTGCTTTGAAGGCTCCATCCCACAGACATGCTATTTTGTTGGTCCATCCAGACACCTTATTTTTTTTTTTAATTTGACAATCATCCTTTAAAAATACTATATTACAGATGTTTGATCTCTT